AAAGAAGGGTCGTCACCACACCGCCTTGACTTCGAATAAGCGAAAACTTATAGAAGTGATTAATGCTGGTCCTTCTCACAAAAGAATCAGACTAGAGGAACAGTATCGAGCGGAAACACAGGGCCAAAACCCTATTCCGTTCACCTTTACTTGTCCTCCGATTATGCCTAACACAGTTTACTGTGCGGCGCCATCCAAAGTAACGGCTTCCGATGAGATGGTTATACCTCTCATTCCAAAAGGCTTAACTACTTCTGGGCGAATTGGCAAGTTCTGTGTGGTCTCTGAGGAAGAGGACTCCGACTCACAAGAGCCAGAGGATTCTCTCTTTGAACACTCAGGACGCGTTCCGAACATTGGGTCACCAAGTGTGCAGTCGATAGGGTCGGATTCTGTTCAAGTAATTAGTTCAGACTCTGATTGCTCCAAATCGGCCGGATCAAGCTATATTCCATTTGGCAGTTCTTCTAAGGAACCATCAAGTTCCAATCACAGTAATGTTGATGATGAACAATTCATGTCCGCAAGTGCCTCAGAGTCTTCGGCACCAAGTATGCAGGCACCAGCTTTGGGTCACCACATACACATTAACACTGTCAACGTAAAGTCTAACAGTAGACAGGTCACACCTGTCGATCAACAGGAGAAGTTACCTATGAACCTTCTTCCTTTCACCAACCCGGTCACAAATGTACGGATTACTCCAGAAGCAACTCGTACATACAACTGGCTGAGGGAGTGTGACATTACTTTTGGGAAGGGATCTAACCAGATTAAAGCAAAGAACTTGCTTAAAGACGCTGTTTTATTTGGGGTTCACAATGTGACTTCGGATATTACTCCCGTTGATATCTGGACATTTCTCAAAGCCCGCCTTGATATTGCTCAGACTGAAAACGTCCGCGCAGTGCTGAAAGTGCGTCAGCCCTTTCATAGACTTAGGTATAATGTCTGGGTTTCCCCAGACTTGGCCAACGGTCTGGCACCATTATTAGAACTTACCTACGAAGATAGGAAGTCACAAACGTGCACCTTGATGTCCCGCAAGACTCGAGCATTTTGGGTTGAGGGTCAGCCTAAGTCTGACTGTTTCTCTGTGAAGGCTTGGCGAGTTTGTCTTGCCAAGGACTGGAGAGACGCAGTTGCACCTAGACCACTGGCTCCAGCTTGTGAACCACGCGTTGATTATCGTGACCCTGCACTAGTTGCTTGGAACTCTAATGGCTTTAATTACAAAAGCATGGCATTAAAGAGCCTTGCCAACCGCTCAAACGCGGCAGTTATAGTGCTAGGGGAACATCTACGTAAAGTAGAGAATTACGAACCGAAAATTAAAAACTTCCGTTCATATACTCACCCAGCTAAACCTGGGTTCCGGGGGCTTTGTATGATGGTAAGAGACGATATTGGCGCTTACGAGAAGCCAACCGGTGTTCCGAACATCATGCATCTAGTAGTCACCGGACTCGACGATAAGTCAGCTTGGCATATCTTTGGGGTGTATCTTCAGTCTGGGTCTAACCACGGCAGGATGCGAAAAACTCAACTCTTGCCAGTTTGGGAGATTGTTAACAAACTCTTGGACAAAGACCCAGAATGTAAAATTGCTATAGGAGGCGACTTCAATATGGCAAAAAGTGTTCTTAGTACGCTGGCAATGCGCAAAACCAATGGTCAGATGACTGTAAAGCCTTGTACTGGTTCACACTTAACGCGTCTTCCCCGAAAAGGAAAACGCAATGGAATAGATCATTGGGTAATCTCGTCCTCTTTACGTGACTTGACATCTAATGTCAAGGTACAGAGAGAGATGTCATTATCTTATAATGGACTTTCTGATCATGCAGCAATTCGGATGAAACTGCGGACAAAGAACTCACGTTCCGAGTCGATTAAGTCCCCAAAGAAATTTTGGGACAAAAACTTGTTGAAGGGAAACTCCTTCGAGCTTCTAGTTAATGATGCTTGGGAGGGTTTCAACGAAACAAGTGAATTAGATGAGATGCGGGATAATTATCAACAGTGCCTTGAGAAAGCAGCAGAAGACATTGGCATTCTTAAGACTGGTGCAGTAGGACGCAAGTCTCACTACCCCCGTCAGATTGCTAGACTTTTGAGTGCAGCTCGAAAAGCTAAAGATAAATATCTTCAAGTCAATAAGGTAGCTACTCCAGTCTCCGAACTGATTAGACGCGCTAGAATTGCTGAGGAAGCCTCCCGACGTGCTTCGGTGGCTATCCGCAAGTTTGAGAAAGAGCAAAAAGCTCAAACCCAGCAAAAAGCCGTCGAGCTACTAAGAGGTCATGACATGCTTGAATACCACAAGGAAATCAAGCGTAGATTACCTGATCATTTTGGGAAGCGTAAAAGCCAACCAATCCCATGCATGAATGCAAAAGGGACATTATGTGTGACTGAAAGTGACATCAACCATGCAGAGTATGAACACTTTAGTCGATTAGCTTTGGATTCTACAAAAGTTTCCAAGGACCCCGTCTTTTGGGAGAACCTCACTTGTGAGGATGAACCTCTTGATTGCGGCATTATTGGGTCTGAAGTCAGCCCACAGGAGTTTTTGTCAGCTTGCAGCAGACTGAACCCTAATGCAGCTTGTGGTAACGATAACCTCCCCCCAAGCCTCTTCAAGGAGATCTTGAAGCATGAGCGAGGACAGTTTGTTGGGATGCTAAATGCGGCGCTTGACCAACATACTTCCAAGGACCTCTCGCGGAAAGAACTTCTTAAGAAATTATTCTCAAACACTGAGAGTCCGGCGGAGATCTACCGAGGTCCAGATGGCGTTGTCTCATGGAAATGGGATGCACAAAATCTGCTTGTCCCGGTCAAGGTCACGTCAGGAAAATTAGAGCAGGTGAAGACAAAGGCAGGCACATTCTACCAGCCTTTGGATCACGTCTACCATCCGGTGCCTATTAAAGACATCTTTTCTAAAATGGTGACGCCTGCAGGACAATACGCATTGCTAATTATTAACAAGTCGCTAGAAATGGGCCGCCCGGCCGCGGCTGATAATAAAAATGTGGTTGTCTCATTATCCAAACCGAATAAAGATCCGGTTGAATTAACCAATCGAAGAGGTATAACACTCTCGACTGCCTTTAACAAATTGACTATGACCATCTTGGAGGATCGAATGAGCCGTATTCTTAATGAAAAGGATTTCTTCTCCGAGGATCAAGGTGGTTTTAGGAGAAATGAAGAAGGGATTTCACAATTCATCTGTTTAACAGAAGTTGTTCGTAGAAGAGCAAATGTTGGTAAAAAGACATATGCACTCTTCATCGATTTTCAAAAAGCATTTCCCAGCGTGCCACATGAAGCACTATGGAAAAAGCTCAGACATCTTGGGATTCCCGAAAATGTCATTGGTTTCTTGAACGCTGCTTATGAAAATAGCGAGTTCAGAATCCGTACAGGAGATGAGCTCTCACCAAGCTACTCCATGGAAGTTGGCACAAAGGAGGGTTGCCCCCTTTCCCCTCTTCTATTCATCATTTTTATAAATGACCTGTTCAAAAAGTTGCCCGGAGTCGTAGTACCTGGGATCAAGACAGCTGGAGGGAACTTCACGGATAAAGGAAAGTTGTACGCAGATGATGCCGCAGCATTCTTTGACTCTATTGAGGATCTCGAGGAAGGATGTCGAATCATTTCTGAATGGGTGATCAAATGGCAAACCCTGAAAATTGGGCACGCTAAATGTGCAGTTGTGATGTACGGTGAGGAGGACCCCCTCAAAAGGGAACTCTTCTACAAAACGTACGGAGCTCCTACACCATTAGACGGAGAAGTCGAGAAAAGACATTTCTCCCTTACAGACGGAAAAGTATATGCGGAAAGATCATACGTATACCTCGGAATCCCTATTGGTGACTCCTTGGGAATAGGTTATGATGAGGAAACCATATATGCCCGGACTGTAGCTGCAAAGGTGAGGCAAAGAGTCAACCAGTTTACCTGCTTCCTCACAGATAGGCGCAAACCTATCACTGAAAAAATCTTCTTGATGAAAACCTATGTCATCCCAACCGCGTTGTACGGTGGAGAATGGTTTGGAATGAACAAGGAGCGCACTGCGCCAATTCAAGAAGAGATTAACCGGGCCCTGAGAATGGTTCTGGAAATCCCAAGGAAACATAAAAAGGTCAACTATGCACAAGTTTCCTGGGAATTAGGCATACCTACCATTGAAGTAGCTTGCGCAACTGCACGTCACCGCATCTTTGCAAAGGCGTCAGAATTAAAGACAGATGCAAGAGTAATCTTGACTGATACGCACAAAGCAGGTACTAAACAAACCTGGAGTGCCATTACACATGCCGTAGTCAAAAAAGCTAAGGCAAAGATTAATAAGATGTCATCCTCACCAGATGATGTCGAGGGCCCTAAATTAGAGCCTTCAATGATCAAGTCGCTCTTAATTCAAGAAGACTTATATAAAAAGAAGCTACCTGATCACATTAAAGAGGAGAGAAGGCAACTTCAACTCCACCTCTGGCACGAAGAATTCTTTAATAAGAATACTGCGCTTGAGAACTACACGTACCTACTCGGAGAGAAAGGTACAACTCGGCACTTTAAAAAGGCTGAACTTTACTACCCGGAGCTTCGCGCTGGGGTGCTAGCCTTAACAAAAGCTAGATTAGGGCTTTTTCCGTCAAACGAAAAAGCATTCATTGAAAGTGAAGTGAACGGCTCCCTCACTCCCGAAGCTGAAAGATTAGGAAAAAATGGCTGTCCCTTATGTGGCGAAAGTCGCGTTGATGAAGGCGGGGAATTCACTGAGGAGATTGATCACCTCCTCGTTCAATGTACATCATTAAATGAACTCAGAGATGAGCATTTATCAGCAATTATTGCTGACTTAAGAGCTTCGTCCGTCGTAAGAGGAGAAGACATGTGTAACCAGGTGTCAAGCTTGGGTACACTCATTATGGGAGGTATGTGCCTTCCGCAGACCCGGAAGGGTGCTGCGCTTC